GTTTTTTCGGTAAGAGATTTACAACGTGCTTAGAATCAGATCCCTGTCGAGCCAAAAGATGTTCCTAAAACGGCAATTACGACGCCGTTCGGACTCTTCGAGTTTCACTTCATGACTTTTGGCTTACGAAACGCAGCGCAGACGTTTCAGCAGGACATTCCCGACGTGTTGCAAGGAATCGATTTCGCTTTTGCATATATAGACAACATCCTCGTGGCTTCTGCGAATCCAATCGAACACGAAAAACATTTACGGGAAATTTTCAAACGTTTAAAGAAGAATCATTTGGCCATTAATGCCAGCAAATGCCAATTTGGCAAAACTCAAGTTAACTTCCTCGGCCACGCCATCAGCGCGGAAGGGCTCAGACCCATGGATGTAAAGGTAGAGGCGATTCGCAAGTTTTCGAAACCAACTGTGGCCAAAGATCTGAAACGTTTTCTTGGAATGCTCAATTTTTATCGCCCCTTTTTGCCCAACGCTGTGAGAAACCAACGAAAATTGCAAGATTTAATAAAGGGCAACATCAAACACGACAAAACCGTCATAAAATGGAACGAGGAAGCCAACGAAGCAGTTACGGCTTGTAAAGATGAACTGGTCAACGGTACTCTCCTGGGTCACATGCCCCTGGTTGCGGAACTCACTCTTACGACCGATGCGTCGAACAACGCAGTGGGTGCCGTAGTTCAACAAATCAGCAGTGATGTCCACCAACCGCTCGGATTCTACTCAAAGCGGCTAAGGTCAGCGCAAACAAAATATGCAACGTATGATCGGCAGTTGGTTGCGGTCTACCAGGCTATTCAGCATTTTCGCCACATACTAGAAGGTAGGCAATTCGTAATTTACACTGATGATAAACCCTTAATTTACGCCTTTACACTAACCGTAAACGATGCACCTCCTCCGAGAGCCCGCCAGCTAGATTTTATTTCCCAATTTTCTGCTCTACCCAAGCCACAAGAAAGGCGACCCCGCCATTCGCGCCAACTACTGCGGGACCAGCCTTCTAAGCATAGGTTACAAGTACGGTTACCATTTTGGTCAAATGGACCAAATTTTGTCCATTTCTATTCGTTTGGTCCATTGGTCTAATTAATTTTAAAATGGTCTATTTCACCAGCCTTTGGTTAGCTTATTATCACCCTTTCACTTCTTGTAATAGTTTCGCGTTTTCAATTTTTTCTATTTAATTTATGAATATTCCGCCCTATGTTGAATATCGCCATCATCAATAAAAGTGAGGATACGGCCATCGTCAGCCATGTTACTGATGCGCTAGCGAACATCAACGATGACGATTACGACATTCAACAGAGGGCCGATTGGCAACACCTGCTAAAGGTGTGAACTCGCCTTGCCACTGATCTTCAAATATGGCATGGCTAAGCATCTGTCAAAGAACGCTTTAAAAAACATCGCGGTTTCTTACTAATTTCAGTTACTCGGTGACTAATATTAAAGTGGCTGGCAAAAATATAGAAAGGTAGCAAAACTTTAATCATAGCATTTAGCACATGAAAATAATATTCAATTTCAATCGAAAATATATTAAACATCTTGCAATTATTACACCACATAAAGTTCTTTCTGATACTGATGTTTTACCGCTACTCGATCAATTTCCTGCATTGGTAACTGATACAGATATAATTTAATTTCAGTTTCGCAAATTGAGGCTGAGTGAAGGTAACTTCAAAAACTAAAAAAAAAATTAAAAATAGATTGGGTGAAGCCGCCTTTGGAAAAATGTGTGATTTAGTTCTTAATATTTTTAGTCTGCCTCACAGTTCCGCAGCAGCTGAGCGCGAATTTTTTGATTTAGCATCAATAAAAACGAAATTAAGAAACAAATTATAATTAAAAACTTTAAATAATGTAATGTTAATAATATACAATTGTAATGCGCGTTGGATGTAATATAAAAAAAAATCGTTATAAAAACTGAATTGGCATATTTTCTTGATAAAGAGGAATAAACTCCACTCAATTTCCCTATGTAATAAAAATTGGTCAATTTTTTAACATTTGGTCCATTTTTTGGTTCGAAAAATAAATTGGAAACGGCAACCGTTGTTACAAGGTCTTATCGAGCGTATTGTGTGAAAGACTGAAGCCCACCGTCAATGAACTGATTGGGCCCTATCAGTGTGGCTTTAGGCCTGGAAATCCACCATAGACCAGGTATTCACAATACGCCAAATCTTGTAAAAGACCCGCGAGAAAAGGATCGACACACAAGCTATTTGTCGATTTAAAAGCGAAAGGCGACGTTTTTGATCTCAAGAATTTGGATAATAATTATTTTGGGTCTCTGGAATTTTTTGAACGCAGCAGCGACATCATGAATTTGTATGAGTTTGACATAAAAGAAGATGAAGGACCTGTAGCGATTCTACAGTATGTGGCAACTCAACTTATAATTATCACTTATGAAAATTAGCAACCCTGAATATTTCAATATGTAAGATAAAATGCAACCCTAAACTAAGAAGAGGAAATAAAGAAAATTGTCAATTGGGTTTTTGCTAGTCATCGGAGGAAAACGTGGTTCTTCTTATTTTAACATAAAATTAGCAAAACCAGCTAAATTGGTGACCCCGACGACTAATTTTCTGAACGCATCATCGTTTCGAAAAAATGGCCGAGAACGAAGTAACACCGGCTCCACATCAAGCAACTGCGCCAAGCGATGTCCAGCAAAAACCTTCCAACAGCGACTACCTGCTTAACCAAGAAAAAGTCAGCGTTAAAATACCCCCATTCTGGGCTAAACGACCAGAAATTTGGTTCGCGCAAATAGAAGCCCAGTTTTGCATTGCTGGAATCTCATCGGACATAACCAAATTTAACACTGTGATTGCATCCATTGAATCTCACGTGATAGCGCCAATTACGGAGGCAGTGCTACAACCACCAGCAGAAGGAAAATACTAAAACTTAAAAAAGTGCATCATCGACCGGTTCGGCTAAAGCGAAGAGAAAAAGATGAAAAAACTTTTATCTGAATGCGACCTAGGTGACCGACGGCCCACACAACTTTTACGGGAGCTGAGTGGTCTCGCCCGAGACAGAATAAGCAACGAGTTTCTCAAATCCCTTTGGCTTCAGCGTTTGCGCCCTCAAACTCGCGCTATCCTTCAGGCATCCACATCTGAACTTCCCGAACTTGCCAAATTAGCGGACAAAATCATGGAAGTCAACGATCATAACCACGTGGCAATGGCAACGAGCTTAGAAACACAGGTGGAGCCTACAAGTGAATCCAGCCGTATTGAGCGAATAGAGAGGCAGCTCGATCAATTGCAGCGTAAACGATCTAGGCCATCTGCAAAACGGCCTTCTACAAAATTTACAACGAAAAAATCAACTCCTGGTGAATTCTGCTGGTTCCATACGAAATTCTGCCGTAATGCACAAAAATGTCGCGACCCTTGCGGTTTCAATTCGAAGTCAAAAAACTAATGGGGGAGTCAGACCGCCGGCTGTCTACGTTCGACAAACCCGTGAGCAACATTGCACGTATCGCAATCACGGACAGCAACACCAAACTTAAACTCATAATTGACACCGGGGCCGATGTATCCGTTACACCAGTTCGACCAAGTGACATATGTGGGAAAGCAGAAAACCTTCAATTATACGCAGCGAATGGCACGCCGATCAAAACGTACGGCGAACGACGCATGAGCCTATCCTTAGGTTTGGAAAAAACTTTGAGTGGACCTTCATCATAGCAGACGTCTCAGCACACATCATCGGCTTAGACTTTTTACGTAAATTCAATTTACTCGTGGATCCAGTACGCAACATGCTTCACGACCGAACGACGCTTAACGAAGCTAAAGGTCATGCTATCCACGCGAACATATCATCAGTTGTAGCTTTCGAGGCGCCAGATAAATACGCTAGTCTGCTAGATGAGTTCAAGGAGTTAAGTATACTTAACAACGCGAAGAAATGTACGTCATCGAAAGTAACACACCACATAGTTACAACCGGTCCAGCAGTTTT